AAGTTAAGATTCTGATTTATTGTTCGTAGGATCATGGTAAGTTGTACATAAAAAGTTTAACACAGTGCTATCACTGTTATAGGCTCCAAAATGGTTATTGACTTATCTGAGCAAACAAAAAGGGAAGTTAGGTGGCTGATATTGGTCATTATCTTAAGGGAGAGGAACAGATTCCTACAAACAGGGTTTTGCTTGGTCTTTCTTCAGCTAGAATCCTTGCTTTTTGCTGAGTCTAAACACATCTAGGTGTTTTGGTGTAAAGGAACTTCCTTTTGATGAATTATCACACCCTTTATCTTCAATTTTTTAGAAACCTCATCCCCAAAACTTGTCTTCATTTTTAATCAGAACTTTGGGAAACAGTTTAATTAGGAAGTTATAAAGTGAACTTGTTTAAGGTCTTAGAGAAGTTGCAATTAAAATAAAAAAGTTCTAGAGTTCTTGCCAAGTCCCTTGTCTCAATATGATTATAGAAATTTCAAGTTCCGATTATTCTGAGCAAAGTTTGGTGAAGTTTGAGTAGTATTTATAGTGAGGAATTTGTTGGATATTAGGGATAAGTTAAAATAGAAAATATTTTTATGGACAAGGAAACAGAAGAAAATGGAGATATTGTTCTAGGCAAAGTGGTACAGAAAGCATTAATCCCAAAGCTTCCCCTCACCCCAGTTCACTCTATGACTAGTTGAGTAATGGTAGGTGAGATCATTTGTACCCTGGAGTTCTGCTTCTTCATCTTTAGAAGGTTGGTGGTAATCTCAGGTCTGTTCATATCATTTTAATTTGTGACACAGCGAATCTATTCAGAACACTTCGATTTGAGCAAGAGAAATTAATAAGGGAAGTGTGTGGAATATATTCCTGAGACAAAGAATGGTTCAAAATGAAGTCAGACCCAGAAAATTAATTTGAGGTTGCAGGAAAAGGAATTTGAAGAGAAAATAATTTCAGGTCATTTGCTTAGCTTTAGTCTTACTGGAAAAATGATGTTGTTAGCATTGTTTTGAGTCAGCCTCCTATTTCTGGGGACTCCAAGCACAACTGAATGAAGCATCTTGATCCTGCCCTAACCACATAATTTATTGATCATATAGTGTACCATAGTGATTCATAGAGTTTTCACTGGCTTATTTTCAGAAATAAATCATCACATCTCTCTTCTTAATCATCCTAGTCTATAACTCCATTAAAACTTGTTCAGGATCATATCATATGAGCTTCTAGTTACAGACAGGTGGTGATTACATGAGAAGAACATTGGTTTGGGATGAATTCTGCCACTGAAGAACTAATATTTCATTGGTAAAAGACATTAATAGTCCCCAACTTGAGAAACTGGACTATATAAAGAAGATTATGGCACCAGTATTTGAAGAAGATTCAACAATTTGTGTTATGCAGATAACACAACCTAGCTCGTAGAAATTGAAGAAGACTTGAAGAACTTACTTATAAATGGAGAAAGGAGTGAGGTTCTCAACAATTTTATCCTACTTGGATCAACATTCAGCATCTATGGTAACAGCAATTGAGAAATCAAATGATGTGTTGTATTGGGGAAAACAACTGTCTTGGACCTCTCCAAAATGCTAAAGAACATAGATATCAATTTAAAGATGTCTACTCCACAACAAAAATCTAAGCAATGGTATTTTAAAATGCTTCCTATGCTTCTGAAAGTGGGACAATGAATAAGGAAGATTTAAGAAGAATTGATGTCTTTCAGTTGTGGTGTTGGTGAAGAGTATTGACTATACATACCATGGACTACCAAAAGAAAAAAACAAATATGTGCTGAAAAAGTGCAACCAGTATTCCTTAGAGGCAAGAGTGGTGAAACTTCATCTTTCTTTGAGCATTTTTTTATAAGAAACTAGTACTTTAGGATATATTCCAAGTAGTGGACTTGATGGGTCAAATGGTATTTCTATTTCCAAATTTTTGAGAAAGCATCATACTGCCTTCCATAGTAGTTGTACCATTTTATACTCCCAACAACAATGAATAGGAGTTTCAATTTCTCCACAATTTTGCCAGCATTTGTTGTTTTTAAGAGAAAAGTGAACTGAAGAGGAGGTACAGGGAGAAAACTATGCAACAATGAATGAATGGAAACCCATGTTTTCTGTAAACTTTCATTAAAATAACAACAAACACTATTTATATTAAAAAAGGAACTAGTTCTTGGAGAAAGACATCATGCAAGATATCAGATGGGAGAAGATTGCCCATATTCCTCCCTTGGGAAAGGTATAGAGTCAACAAAAGAGACAAAGGTCCTCAACAAGATGGATTTACACAGTGACTGCTACAATGGCTTGAGCATGACAGAATCAGGAGGATGGGGCAGGATAGGGCAAGGTCCAGGTCTGTTACTCATAGGGTTGCTTTGAGTCATAGTCGGCTCTACGGCACCTAAAACCAATACTTTCATGCATGTTAACTGTAGATCAGAAATATGACATACTTAACAACTTCAAACTTTTCTTCCTTTATTACGATGTTCCTTTTCTGGCCAAATTGTGAGGGGTTTTGCTTTCTTATTGTTATGTGTAATAAGTCTGCGATTCATTGCAACCCTATGTGCAATAGTTCTGAACCTTGCCCTATCCTCAGCCACTCTCATTGTTTCCAACATACAAACCCTATTACCCTGTTACTGTATCCAGCCATCTCATCTGATGTCTTCCTCTCCGGTACTGTCCCTCTACCATTCCCAGCAGGATGTCCTTCTCCAAGGACTGGTCCCTCCTGGTACCATGCCCAAAGTATGTCAGGTGGAGCTTGGTTTTTCCCTCTACAAGATAAACCTATTTGTTTTCCTAGCAGTCCATGAAACATTCAATACTGTTTTCCAGCACCACAACTCCAAGGCATTTTTTCTTCCTCCATCACCCTTATTGATTGTCTAGCTCTCTGATGCATAGCAAGTGCAAAGACTGTGATTTGTATCAGGTGAACCTTAGTGTCAAAACTAATATCATTCTCCTTTAGCACCCTGAAGAGGTCTCTGATAGAAAATTTCTCTAATGCAATTCATCTTTTAATTTTCTGACTACTGAACTGAGCAAACTGAAATTGTTAACAATCTAAATCTCTTTTCCATCTTTCATGATCTTGCCAATTGGGCCAGTGGTGAGAATCTTTGTTTTCTTGATGTGGAGCTTCAACCCATATGGAAGAACACAGTCTTTGACCTTCTGCAGCAAATGCTTCAAGGCTTCCTCATTTGGGCAAGTAAAGTTGTGTCATCTGCATAATGAAGGTTGATGAGGCTTCCTCTAATACCGATGCCACATTTCTCCTCACTAAGTTCAGTCTCCCAAATGACCTCTTCCGCATATAGATTGAAAAGGTACGGAGATATGATACATCCCTGATTCACTCTTTTCTTTATTTTGAGCCATGTAATATTTTCTTGCTCTGTACTGACTACTGCTTCCTGGTCCAAGTATAGGTTTCACATAAGCACATTCAAGTGTTCTGAGATGCTCATTCTTCTCAAGATTAGTCATAAATTGTTATGATACACAAAGTCAAAAGCCTTTGCATTGTCAGTGAAACAAAAATAGACATTCCTCTGGTAGTGTCTGCTTTTGTCCAAGATCCATCTGAAATTGGCTATGATGTTCTAAGAGAACACTGTTATTGTTGTTAAGTGCCAGCAAGTACAATTCACAGCTACCCAATGAACAAAGGATTTAAACCCTTCTCTAACCTATGCCATCCTTACACTTCCTAACACACTAAAGCCCATTGCAGTAGTCACTTGGTTGAGGGTCTTCCTCTTCTTCACTGAATCTCCACCCTTCCTAACATTATATATATTCCTCTCCAAAGAACAGCCCCTCCTAACAACAGGCTCAAAGTATGTGAGGCAAAGCCTCTTTATTCTTGCCTCCAAAGAGTACTCCTGGTGCACCCTCGCCAAGACATATTTGTTTTTTCTTTTGGCAGTCCATGTGATGTTCAGTGCTCTTCTCCAACACCATAGCTCAAAGGCATCAATTCTTCTTCTGTCATCTCTCTTTATTGTCCATCTTTCAGATGTATAGTGAGTGATCAGAAAGACCATGGCCTGACTCAGGCTCACTCTAGTCCTCAAACTGACATCATTACTCCTCATGAATTTGGAGAGACTCCAAAAGGCAAATTTTCCCAGTGCAATGTGTCTTCTTATTTCCTGAGTGCTGGTACCAAGGGTGTTAATTGGGGATCCAAATAAGAGAAAGTTTTTGACAGGTTCAATCTCATCTCAATTCATAATGATGTTACCTATCAGTCCAGTGGTAATAATCTTTTTTTTTCTTGACATTGAGATGCAATCCACACCAAAGGCTACATTCCTTGATCTTCTGCAACAAGTGCTTCAAGTCCTTCTCACTTTAAGCAAACAAGGTTATGTCATCTGCATAATACAGGTTATTGATGAATCTTCCTCCAATCCTGATGTCACATTAATCTTCATAGAGTCCAGTTTCTTGAATAATTTGCTTAGTATATAGATTAAATAAGTATGGAGAGTGAATACAACCGTGACACACTTCCTTTTTAATTTTAAACCATGAAGTGTTTCCCTGTTCTGTTGACACAACAGCCTTCTAGTTCAGGTATAGGTTTCTCATGAGGACAATTAAGTGCTCTGGGACTCCTAGTCTTCTCAATGTCAACCACAACTTGTTATGATCCACACAGTCAAATGCCTTTGCATAGTCAATAAAGCACAAATAGACATTCTTCTGGTATTCTTTACTTTCAGCCAGGATCTATCTGACATCAGCAATGATATCCCTGGTGCCACAGGATATCTTCAAAATCCTGCTTGAATTCTGGCACTGCCCTATCTATGTACTGTTCTAGCTGTTTTTTAATTATCTTCAACAGTATTTTGCTTGCATATGATTAATATTGAATGCTGAAGTCTTTGATCTTCTATAGCAAGAGCCTCACAATAATGATGCTGTTAGATAGTTTCTGCATTCAGTTGGATCACCTTTCTTGGAAATAGGGACAAATATGGACCTCTTCCAATCCATTGGCTAGACAGTTGTCCTCCCTATTTCCTCGCATAGACTGGTGAGTGCATCCCAGGCTACATCTCTTAATTGAAACAAGTCAATTGGTATTTCATTGATAAGACTACATGGTTTAAAATTAAGATTGTTGTGTGTCAGGTCAGGGTTGTATCCTCTCTCCATACCTATTCAATCTATATACTGAGCAAATTATTCAAAAAGGTTGAGTCTATGATGAAGAATGTAGCATCAAGATCAGAAGAAGACTCATCAATAACCTGCATTATGAAGATGACACAACATTGATTGCTGGAAGGGAGGACTTGAGGAGCTTGCCATAGAAGATCAAAGACTTTAGCATTCAATATTAATTGCATCTCAACATTAAGAAGACAAAAGTCTTCACCATTGGACTAATAAGCAATATCATGATAGAGAAAAGATTGAAGTTGTCAATGATTTCATTTTACCTACATCCACAATCAACAACCTTGGTAACAGCAATCAGGAGATAAGGAGACACATTGCATTGGTCAAGTGGCTGCCAGGGAGCTCTCTGAATTATTGAGGAGCAGTAATGTCAGTTTGAGGACCAAAATACTCCTGGTTCAGGCCTTGGTCTTTCAATTACTTAGTATATATCTGAGAGCCGGACAATGAAAAAGGAAGAATTGATGTCTTTGAATGGTGATGTTAGAGAACAATACCGAGTGTCCCATGGACGGCCAAAAGGACAAACAAATATGTCTTGGTGAAGGTGTAGCCATAGTTCTTCTTGGAGACAAAAATTATAAAGCTTCATCTCACATACTTTGGGCATATTTCTAGGACAGGCTATTCCTAGGAAAGGAACATCGTGTTTGGGACGGTAGAGGGTCGACTATAGGGTGGAAAATCTCATCCAGATGGACTGACACTGTAACTGCAACAATGAGCTCAAGCATTTCAGTAATTGTAAGGTTGGCCCAGGACAGGACAGGGTTTAAAAGTGTTGTTCATAGGGCCGTTAGGAGTTGTATTCACCAAAAGGCTCTTTGAAAAAATTGCAAGGTAGCTTTATTGTTGTTAGACACTATTGAGGAAGTCCCTGACTCATGGTGACCACTCAGTGGGATTGTATGGCTTTACCTTATAGGATTTTCACTGGCTGGTTTCTCTAAATTAAATCATCAGACTTTCCTTCCTTATATGTCTCATTCTGGAAGATCTACTGAAAACTGTTCAGCATCACAAAATCATGTAGTCCTAAAATAGAGGACTGTGCTGAAGTTCATTGGTTTGGAATCTAATCTGGGTCTCCTGCATGGAAGGCAAGCTTTTACCACTAAAACCATCACTCCTACAGGCAGCATTGCTGTCACTGTTGTAATGTGCCATCACATTATTGCTGTATACTGTTGAGTTGATCCATAGTTGACCCTCAGAGGCAGTTAATTACACTGGAGGGGATAGCCCATTACTGTAAAACGCTATGTAAGAAAAATGTAGAATTATGCTTGAGAATTACGGTAGAAATTGTCTAAGTTTCAAAAATATAATTATTACTGAAGAGCATATCTGATTTTATTCTTATTTTCACTTTTCAGGAAAAGACCCATGTGAGGAGAAACTTGTCATTAAGAGACAATCCAATTACACTATTTCCGTTGGAACCTCATTTGAGCTGAAGTGTCCTATGCAGTACTGCACTCTCCCACCTCCTAATGTGACTTGGTGCAAGTTTGAAGAAAAACAATGTTTACCAGTTAGAGATAGTCTTAATCAAAGTGTACAATTAGACAAAAGTAAGACTATTTTAAATTATACTCTTCATTTTGTACCAATACTTGCTAGTGACAGTGGATTATACTGATGTGAGATTGACAGGTCTCCAGCTATATGAATTATAAGCCACTCAATAACAGTAAATGTTACAGGTGAGTCCTAGACACTGAGCTCCTCTAATGTTTTTCTCATTTTGTTAATAAAAAAAGCAGCCCTATATTCTTATTTGCTAGGTTAGACATTGAATTTATGATGTAGCAAATCAGAAGGTACCATATCGCACAGGTCATGATGGATGTATGTTTGCATTTCACTCATATATTAAAGGTATTATTCTTGCTTTTAAGAGATATTGGAATTTATTTTGTAAATCCAAGTGTGTATCAATGAAATATTGAGAGAATTACAAAGGGAGTATTACTAGACAAGAAGACAATTCAATTACATCTTCTTGGCTATTTGTTTGTAGGGTTTTTTTCCTCCTCTTTTAATAATTTCTAACTTTTGGGTTTTATAATTATTTGATGTTTCAGTTGCTGTGCTTAGACAATTACATATTTGTTAATAATGTACACAGAGGGAAACGGATGAGTAACTTGATTACCTACCCCATTTGGGAACACTTTAGCTTCAGCCTCCTCCTCAGCTCCTCCTTAGATCTCCTCAATGGGTTCAAGCAGTAAAACAAGAACAGGTCAAGGTTAAGATGACAAACATTCCACTAAAAAAAAAAAAAAAAAGAGTGAAGTATTTAACTTCACCTTCTCCAAAGAGGATATGAAAATGAGTATAAGCGTATAAAAATACAGTCAACATTATTAACTGATCAAACTCAATACAGACTTGTTACCCTAAAGTCAGAACCACAGCTGACCCTCCAGTAGATTCCTGAAAGTCACATGGGTGGAGTTGCCCATCTTTCTCCTAAGGAGCCATTGGTGAATTCCAGTTGCCATAAAGGCACCGTCTTTGGGTTTGCAGCACAATTCCCTACAGAATAAGCCATGAAGAGCTGATTAGGGAAATGAAAATGAAAGCTGAGTATCATGTGTGAATTCTGTTGTCAGCACCATTTATCATGTCCAAGGTCAAGTATCATGCTCAGTACTTTAAATGTCAGGTCTGAGGCAATCAGCCAACTCTGGACGCTCAGGTTCAGTAGCCAATTGGAAACTAAATACAAAAAGCTAGCTGAGGATTTGCAGGAGGCTTAAACGTCTCTTTGTTTAGGGTCTCATACAAATTACAAGGAGGAGCTATACTGTGAGCCTTACCATGAACTGTCAGAGAACTTTTCCATCGAGTTATTATAGTTTTTAGAATAAAGATGGCCTTTTACCACATTTTGCACAGAGATCCCTGCCCTTATCACACTTAGGGCATGCACTATTACACTTAAAACCATTATTCAGCACAGTACTACTAAATGTGCTCAGGCATGGCTGCAGTCCAGGTAGAACTGCTTATTGTATATAAAGCACATTACGGGTTAGCACAAATCTGCCTGCTGGGTATGAACAAATATATTGTGGTCCACAACACTGAGCAAAACCAAGATGGAAAAAAAAATTTAAAAACCAAAAAAGAGGGAAGAAGAGGAGATAGTAAAAACCTGCTCATTTTATGAATGTCCCAAACTTCGGGCTTGTGGTTAGGAGGGACCTTGAAGGAAGTCCTTGAAGGAAGACATCATGTGGGGAAGGTAGTTGTTGTTTTTGTTATATGCTGTCAAGTTGCCTGCAGCTCATAGCAACCCTCTATGCAGCAGATCTGAAGTCTGTCCTATCCTGAGCCAGTTTCACTGACTCTGAAACACCCACCCCCATTGCCCTAGTTACTGTGTCAATTCATTTCACTGGGGTCTTCTTTTCCTTGCACTGTTCCTACAGCGTTCTGAACATGATGTCCTTCTTCAAGGACCAGTCCCCCAGTCCCTCCTGGCCATATGCCCAAAGTATGTGAGATAGAACTTCAAAATCCTAGCCTCCAAGGGGAAACTTGGTTTCACTCTCTCCTATTTGAAAGGTAGAGTGTAAGCAAAATAGAGGAAGAATCTCATGTGGATGGATTGATACAGTGATTCTAACAATGGGCTGGAGCATTACACAGATTATAATGATGATGCAGGACAGGTCTATGTTCTGATCTGTTTTCTATAGGGTCATCATGAGTCTTTTACCACATTCAGTGTTATATTTATTTATTATATTCAATGGTAAAAGAGTAAAGATCTCTTAAGATCAGGAACAAAGGGAGTTCTGGTGGCCTAGTGGCACGAAGCTGCACTGCAATCCCAGAATCCACCAGATGCTCTGCTGGAGAAGGAGGGACAGTCTCCTCCTGTACCAGTTAGATCCAATTTGATGGTACACACACAAAAATAATAAAATAAATTTTTAAAAAAGAATAGTTTAAAAAAAAACACCATCAGGAACAAGACAAAGTTGAAGATTTTTACCACTTCCACACATAATAGCATTGGCAATTCTAATCAAAACACTCAGACAAGAGACAGAAATAAAAACCATATAAATTGGAAAGAAAAAATTGAAATAATCTTTATTATAGATAACTTAACCTTACGTATTGTTATTGTTAGGTATCATTTAAGCAACTACTACTACTTATAGCAACCCTATGAACAACAGATCTGAACCTTGCTCTGTCCTGCACCATCTTCACAATCTCTGAGATTCTTGAGCCTATTTTTACAATTACTGCTTAAATCTATCTGTTTTTTAGGGTTTTACTTTCTTTCTCTGAGCCTCCACCTTTTCCTGTATGATAACATTTTATAAGGATTAGCCCTTCCTGACAACATGCCCAAACTGTAAAAGATGAAGTTCCACCATCTTTACCTCTAAGAACATCCCAGTTGCATTTCCTCCAAGACAGACACTACAATTCAAAGGCATTAATTCTTCTTAAATCATTCATATTCTTTGCCTAGGTTTCAGGTGCATAAGAAATAATTGACAAAAAAAATCATGACTTGAATCAGGTGCACCTTAGTCTTTAAACTGGCATGATTACTCTTTAGGACTAGGAGAAATCCTTGATAGTAGATTTTTACAATGCAACATCTCTTTTGGTTTCTTATCTGCTGGCATCCTTGATGTTGATTATGGGCCCATGTAAATTTAACAAAGTTTCAGGATGCAAGATCAATTTACAAAAAATCAAATACACACTAACAAAGAACAAATCAAAGAAAAAATGGTGAAAACGCTTCTGTTTAAAATATAAAAAAAATTCATAATAAAATTAGGCAAGAATTTGCAAGATTTACACACTAAAAATGACAAAATATTATCTAGAGAAATTTCATGAACAGCTAAATAAGTAGAAAGGCATGGGAATTCCAGAATATTTGATTTTGCTTATGCGAAACTTATGCTTGGACCAAGTGACACTTGTCAGAACAGAGCAAGGAGACACTGCATGGTTCAAAATTGGGAAGGGTGTACACTGGGATGTATTCTCTCTTCATACCTTTTCAGTCTGTATGCAGAACAGATCATCTGGGACACTAGACTGTACAAGGAGAAATGTGGCACCAGGATTGGTGGAAGATTCATCAACAACCTGCGTTAGGCAGATGACACAACCCTGCTTGTTGAAACTGAGGAGGCCCTGAAATGCTTGCTGCAGAAGGTCAATGACTACAACCTTCAATATGGATTGAGACACAACATCAAGAAAACAAAGATTCTCACCACTGGGCCAATTGGCAGCATCAGGATGGATGGTGAAGAGATTGAGATTGTTCACAGCTTTAGTTTGCTTGGCTCCACATGGCACTCTTGGTGCCAGCAGATAAGGAAATCAAGAGAGGAATTGCCTTGGGAAAGCCAGCTGTGAAGGACCTTTCCAGAGTACTGAAGAGCAACAATGTCAGGCTGGAGATTAAGTTGCACCTGATCCTGGCCATAGTCTTTGAAGTTGCATGCTATGCATCAGAGACCTGGATAGTGACTAAGGATGATAGAGAATTGATGATGATAGAGAATTTGTGCTGTGGTGCTGGAGAAAAGTGTTGAATATACCATGGACTGCTAAGAGAACAAACAGATTTATACTGGAGAGGGTGAGACCAGGCTGCTCCTTGGAGACAAGGATTCTGAAGCTTTGTCTGACATATTTTGGGTATATTGCAAGGAGTGACCATCCTTGGAGAGGAACATTATATTTGGGAGAGTGGAGGGACAATAAAGGAGAAGAAGACCCTCGATGAGATGGATCGATTCAGTGATTGGGGTAGTGGGAGTGTTGGAGACAATGAGGTTGGCACAGGATAGAGCAGGGTTTAGAGCTCTTGTACAAGGGTCACTATGAGTCGCAAGCAACTTGACGGCACATAACAACAAGAACAACTTTGGATGTGTGAAGGAAAGGCCAGTTCCTGGAGCAAGATGTCATGTTTGGATTCTGGGTAGTTTCAGTTAAAAAAATGGAAAGATCTTCAATAGATGGACTGACCAATGTCAGCAACAGAGGGTCAGAGCACCGTAGAAATTGTGAGGACTAGGCCTGTGTTTCCTCTGTTGAACACAGGGCCTCCATATTTCAGAAGCAATTTAACAGCACTTCATAACTATGCGATAGCTTCTATGTACATCTTAGACATAAGATTACCTTCCTTATTTACTCTTAGATATAAGATTACTTTCCTTTTAAACACTTTTAAGTAATTGTCTACACTCTTTTTCTTTATGGTTGTTCTATTTTTGTTCATATCAGCTCAAATCATTTATTATTCTGGTTTTATAAGACTACTCTTCTGGGGAAGCCTCTCTAGAACATTCTTTGTATTGAACTCATTTTTTAACCAGCATTTCTGGTCTCCCATAGTTTCTCCCAGTCTATCTTTCTTGATAGTCTCTAAATTTCATATGGAACTTCTTATTTTCAGTCTTTCAGCCATACTTCCCTCTAGTATATCTTTACTGTGGTCCTTTCCATGTTGTTCTTGCACCCTGTGGAGCGTCCATTCGTCTCTCTTCATCTCTCAAAATTCTAG